TCAGATAGTTGGTTGGCTCAGTGCTGCCCCCGACAAGATTCTAGAGCTGTAAGCTCTGGAAGCTCCTACGGGGTGATCCCGGAAGTTGCCGTCGCTCGGACGTCCATGCCCCGCGTCCTTTTCGGTGTCGTGCGTGTCTTGCGTGCTCGAGAGTGCGGGATGCTCCTCGGCGGTGCTCACCGAGAGAAACTGCACACGTCCGAGCGACGCCAAGCGAAGTGTGTCGTGTCGCTCCCCGCGCGCAGGCCCGCGGTGCGCCCGGGCTGCCCAGGCCCCCTCGCGGGCTGCCAGGGGGCCCACATCACATGGGCCTCCGCAGGCCCCTGGAGGGCGTCAGGGGCTGCGATATTGTACCCGATTCATGTCTTCGCTCTGGAGCCTGCTGTCAGCTGGCCATCGCTCGGACGTCCGTTCCCTGGGCATCTCCCGGTCTCGTGCGTGTATTTGTTTGCAGTATGATCCGGGATGCTCCTCGATGGTCCTCGCCGAGAAAAAATGCAGACGTCCGAGCGATGCCAAGTCAGGTGGTCCTCGAGCAGTTTCCCGACGTTGCTCGTTCCGCTTGCCGACGCCCCAGCACTGCCCGAGACGGGAAACCCTCCGCTGGTGGAAGCGGGCAGCGCAGAGGAGTTGCGGGCAGCGCCGCTGGCGTTGTGGGCGGTAGCCCAGGTGGCGGGCCCGGCGACCCCCCTGGGGGGGGCTCACAACAAAGTCCCGCCAGAATGCCACGGGCCGAACATCCCATGTATCGCCCCTGGAACACACAAGCTTTGGGCGGATCCCTGTCTATAATGGGGAAGCCGCTACTCGGCGAAACGCCAACGGCCCCCCAAATGTAGACCCGCGACAAGAGCCTCAAGAATGGAAACCCACGCAAGGGGTCTCAAGTGTAGACCCCGACCAAGCGGACCCTAAAATGTCGACCCTCGCGAGGCCTAAGCACCCTGAAATGCAAACCCCGACCTGAAAGACCTTGAAATGTAGACCGCGCGCGAAGGGCGGGGGTCTACCTTTTTGGGGTGCGTCGGGCAGGTCTACATTTCAAGAGCCGTGTGGTTTGTCCTGAGATACTGGTTCTTTCTGGAGCTCCTCCCAAGGACCTCTCCCGGGGTGCGCTCTGACCAGGATCTCAAGACAGATCCAGCGGCGGGCGGTGGCGAGGGCCTACCGGCAGGCCCGAAGAGGCGAAGACAAGTAAAACAACAAAACACGCCATCACCAGAAACTTTTGGCGCTCCGCGCGGATTTCTTGGATCTGCGCTGGACCACCATCCCTGGCGCGCGGGGCGCGCCAGGGGCGGCGCTGAAGGCGCCGCCGGTGGGGCCCCAGCACGGATCCAAGAAATCCCCGCGGAACGCCAAAAGTTTATGTTTCTGCCGCCTGCTTTGTTCTCCGAACAAGGGAAGGGTAGCAGTGTTGGCCTTAGTGGGCCCTGGAAACGCCAGGGACGTTTTTTACCGGTTACGTTTTGTCGGTTTTTTGCCGGTTCCGACGCCGTTTTCTTACCGGTTCCGTCGCCGTTGTTTGACCGGTTTCGGCTGCAGGTCCAATCCTGGAGCCGTTTTTTTGGCCGTTTCTGGTCGCCGTTTTTTGCCGTTCCCATTTTCAAGGGACATTTTTGAGGAAACGGTGAAAAAATTGCCCTGCCGCTTCCAGGGCCCACAAAGGGGTCGACCGGCACCTTTACTCCTCCGACTGCACGGGGCCTTCCGCGGGGGCCCTCGGAGGGAAGGACAAGGACTTCGGCCGGGCCTCGAGCGGAGCGCCTCGTGGGGCTGCGGCGCGCGCGGGCTGGCCGGAGGCCCTCGTGGGCCGGGGGGAAGGCCGAGGTTCGCATCGGGTCGGGCATGCTCTCCCCTACGGGCAGATCTTGGAAGGCACATCAAACATGCGCAAAAAGAGCGCGCAAGCAGGCCAAAGGAGGATCGGAGGCTGGTCCCCAGACTATTCTTGTGTTGGCCGTGTTTGACTAGCTACAGTCGGGCTCCATCGGGCAGGACACGCGAGAGGGCAAAAAGACCCTGCCGAGGGCCACCCTGCCGTAGGAATGCAGGAGGCACGCGTCGCGAGACACGGGACACAAGGGTAACCCTTGATCTGGCAGGGCCGACCTACTACTCCGGGCCGACTGTACCGTCGGGGCGCTGACTTTCAGGAACCCTAAATCAGGAACGAGGCCCCTTTTTTCAATAAGTCAAACTTGGATTTCGCATCGAAAACCTGAGGAAAATCCAAGGCAGGCCGCGAAACACTTAAGGAACACGGAGCCCCTCCCCAACGAAAAGGGCTCCTCCTTCAGGGCCCCGGCTGCAGTCCTCCTGCAGAGGGACGTGCCCGGCTTGAGGCTCGCAGGTGGCGACCCCGGCACGCGCCCAAGGTGGGGAGGAGGAGGAGGAGGAGGAGGAGGAGGAGGAGGAGGAGGAGGAGGAGGAGGAGGAGGAGAAGGAGGAGGAGGAGGAGGAGGAGGAGGAGGAAAAAGAAGAATAATAAGGAAAAAAAGAGGAGGAGGAGGAGGAGGGAGGAGGGAGGAGGGAGGAGGGAGGAGGGAGGAGGGAGGAGGGAGGAGGAGGAGGAGGAGGAGGAGGAGGAGGAGGAGGAGGAGAAGGAGGGAGGGATCGGCAGCGCGCCTGTGGGGGGGAAGCGGGACGGTCTGAGGCCTTCTCGGAGGGCGGCGGGGCTGCCCGCCAGCTTCCCAACAGGAGCGGCTCGGATGTCCCGCGGGGGGCAGGCGCAGAGAACGGTCCCGAAGCTCCCAGGCCTTTCGACTCGTCCGAGAAGGCCCGCCTCCTCGATGCGGCCCCGAAGGCCCCAGGCCTCCTCGGAGGGCACCGAGGCTCCTCGCCAGCTTCCCAGGGAGCGGCTCGTGCCCCGTGGGGGGCAGGCGCGGGGAACGGCTCAGCAGGGCCCAGGTCTTTCGGTTCGCCTGGGAAGGCCCGCCCCTCCTGACTTGCCATCGCCTCCATGCCCGGGCATGGACGTCGGCGTCGCGCGTGTGTTTTGTTGTTGCGCGCGTGATGATCGAATCTGCTTCTCGATGGCCGTCGCCGGGGAACAGATGCACAGTTCCGAGCGATGCCGAGTTCTAGGATTCCAGGTTGGCCTCGCGCAAGCCCGTGAAGGGCACGAGATCCAGGGAGAGGGGAGACCGGGCAACCACCAGCGACGACGGCAACGGCGGCAGGCGAGCTGGCGGCGGCGACGACGGCACGACCAGACGACCGACGGGACACCCGCAGCGACGCGACAGCGACGGCAAGGAGGGAGGAAGGTGGGGGGGCCAAAAGGCATCCATGCCGCTGCTCCCTGGACCTCCCCTGGGGTGCCTTCTGACCAGCATGTCGCGGCGATTCCAGCGGTGGCGACGAGGGCCTCGGGACCCCAAAGAGGCGAACGCGAGGGAATGGTAGCGGTACTGGTACCTCTTCCGGCGACGGCGGCCGCGGTGTGCACCAATCGCCAGCGTGCGCAACAGCATGTGGGGGGGGGGGCCCAGGCCACCCCAATATCAGCGCCCCTCGAACGGGGACTCCACTAAAGGGTACTCTGGCCAGTGACCCAGCGAACCCAACCCTCCCCGATGAGGGCAACGATGCAATGCCAGCAAAAGGCCCTAAAATAACAACTTTCAGCGGCAGGGTTTCAAAGTACCCGTTACGGTGACGCCGACAATGCGATCGCAAGGGTTACCCCGGGAGGTACGGGGGGGGGGCCCGGGTAACAAGCGTGATCCAGGGGAGGAACAGACAGAAACGCTGACCTGGGTAGGCAGCCCGAACGGGGCGGACAAGAAGAAGGGGAAGGGCAACACCAGGGTTGTAGGTGGGTTTTCCGTGTTGGTGTGGTTGTTGCTGCTGTTGCTGTTGCTGTTGCTGTTGCTGCTGTTGTTGTTGTTGCTATTGTTGTTGGAAATAGGCGGTGAGCGAGATGTCTTACCCCCTTCTGAGAAGGAGGAGGCCTTCTCAGAAGGGGGTGGGACTTCTCAGAGATCCTCTGGTCGTCGTAGAGGTGTTGTTTCTGCCTTCGGGGAGGGCGTAGGCAACTTCTGAAGAGGAGGGGTCAGAGCTACTCGCCCGACTCGGCCTCGACCGCTATGCGAATCAAAAAGTCGCCAGGCAAACCAGGAACACCACACGAGCCGACCTGCGATGGGCATGCTCTTGCACTGGACCGTGGCCTGAATAATGAGTCAGCGTGCCGCATGCCGCAACGCAGGAAAAGAAATAAGATGCGTACAAGGTGGGTATTTCGTGGCGTGTAAGAAGAAGCTTCTGGCGAATGCTGTGGCAAGAAGAGGAGGGTTAGGGGAGGAAGGACGGGCGTGGGTCTCTGGCTAATGGATGCTCTACGTTTTTGGTGGTACCCGTGAATTCTGGGGAGATGAATCGGTGAACGAGCCGGATGGAGGAAGAGAGCTTTCGGTTGGATTGACTGGTGTTGCAGACGCCGAGATGTACAAACGAAGAGCCATGAGGGATTCGAACTGTGAAGCCGCCAACTTCCCGGCCGCCCAACAACGCCTGGGCTCCCAGCCAGGACTCATTTGTCCAGGCGGAAGAGGCTTCATAAGTCTGGGCCCCAGCAGAAGAGAGCACATTGCAAATACATAAGAAGAAGGACCATCTTGACAAAACGCTCGCGAGGGAAACCGCTCGCGATCATCATAAGAAGACACGCTCGCGGCAAACCAGCCAGCTCGTGAGGGACCGCACGTGGGCTCGCGCGCGTGGCACCCCGCCTCGCTCCGAGGGGGGAAAGGGGGGGGAGCCGAACCGAGCAGGACTACTTCCTGTGCCCCTCCGTGGTCTACGCCAGGGGGCCTTTCGTGAGAGGGGCACTTCTGCACACCATTCCCTCCGAACTGTGGGAAGCGCTGCACTCGGGGGCCTGGCCGGTAGTCGGCCTCCCTCCGAGGGTCCTGGAACCGCGGAGCCGACTTTCCAACACCACTACCATGGGTAGGAGAGGGATGAGGAGGAGGAGGAGAAGCAGGAGTGAGGAGGAGAAAGAGGAGGAGGAGCAGGAGCAGGAGGAGCAGGAGGAGCAGGAGGAGGAGCAGGAGGGTGAGCAGGAGGAGGAGGAGGAGGAGGAGTGAGGAGGAGGAGGACGAGGAGAAGGAGGAGGAGGAGGAGGAGGAGGAGGAGGAGAGGAACATTACCTCCCCATCCTCCCTTCTCCCCCGTCCTGCACGTGGTAGCGGTGGTGGAAACAACGGGCCCATCAGAACTCGCTGGCCAACAGCGCTGAGTCTTGAGGGCCAGCCTCCAGGCAGAACGCCCGCAGGTAAAACAGGCGAGAGACACGGGCCAGGAGGTGGTGGCTCATGCTTTCTGCCCATCGTATACGGAGGGTTGCTACGCCGACATCTCCGACCGGGAGGGGCAGGATCCAAAAAAGGCGGTCGTGGAGATTGGGCCTCCTCCACACGAGGGGGGGGAGGGAGGACAGAGAGGGAGGAAGGGGTGGAGGGAGGAATGGAGAGGGAGGACTGGCGGGAGGGAGCGGAGAAGCGGTAGACAGGGGAGGGAGGGGGGGGAGGGATGGGAGGACAGTCGGGGAGGAGGGGGCGCCAGCGCGGGGAGACGAGACAAGCGAGGGAGCAGGGAGAAGAGAGAGCGCGGCACACATGCAGCCGACGGTCCTCGCACATGAAAGACAGCAGGCCCTTGAGCACGGTCGCCAAGCTCCTCCCCACCACGCTCATGCACATGCGTCCTCCTCATCCTCCTCCCCCCTCCCTCGACAACCCTCCTGCTGATCCCTCCGTCGTTCCTTCACATCACTTCCCCTCCTCCCGTTCCTCCTACTCCTCCTCATCCTCCTTCTCCGCCTTAATACTACCAATACCCGTTGTCTCCCTTCCCGTCACCGACATCCTCATCACCATCATCACCACCACCATCATCAGTATCAACAAAATTCATCGTGTGCGTCATTGCCATCGAAATCATACTCACGATCGTCGCCACCCTCACCAACACCCCGACTATCACAGCCGTCAACCTCACATCGCTAGCGCTGCCGTACACATCATCGCCATAATCATCCTCATCATCATCGTCGTCATCATCAGCATCATCATCATCATCATCATCATCAGCATCATCATCATCATCAGCATCATCACCATCATCACCAACATCAGCATCAGCATCAACATCAACAGCATCATCAGCAACAGCAACAACATCATCATCGTCATATGTAGCATCTGTAGCATCTGTAGCATAATCATCATCATCATCAGCAGCAGCAGCAGTATCATCATCACCATTAGCATCATCATGACCCTCACCACCATCATCTCCGTTGCAGGAGCTCCTGCGGCCTGCAGGAGCCTTGTCAGCATCTGTAGGCCCGTTGGCGTACGAGTTTGCATTCCCAGCTGCTGCATGCCCAGTGCGGAGGACAGTGAGCACAAAGGCGGACCCTGCGTGCAGCCACCGCGGAGCTCCAAGCCGAGCCGGCGTCTGGCCCCGCCTTCGTCGTCGGCTCCACCGCCGTGCAGACGCGAGCCGCGCTCGGCGGCACGCAGTTCCTTGCGCGCTGCGTCCGTGCTGGCCGCAAGCCATGCGAGGCTGGCGCGGGGGGGACGACGGCGAGGAAGCGAGGGGCGGACGAGGAGGAACGAGAGGGCGACGGCGCAGCGGCCAACTGGAGGCTGAGGGCGAGGCCGCAAGACGGAGAAGGCCGCGCGGGGGCAGAGCGGCTGGGGGCGGGGACAGCGAATGTTGTATATATCGTTCCCTGGTGGCGTCGGTTGCTTCTGGAGGCAGTTTTTGTTTCAGGTGTGCCAGGTGGTGGCGCATGACCTCAACCATGGACGCGTTTAGAAGGCCAGTCCACAAGAGAACTTCCACAAGAAGCCCAACCCTGATGACCCAGGGCGTCCACTGATGTCTGATGTGAGAACGTCACGCCTCCATAGCAGAACCATCGAGACCCAAGAAACCCAGGGCACCCTGGAGACAAGCAGGGTGTTTCTTGGCATGGGTCTCCACTGTACAAAATGTTCAGCGCGCCCGAATGGGAGCAGCGTTGCACAGAGCAGCGCGGTGGATTTGCGAGCGTTGAGTTTGTGGAGTTGCAAGATGTGCAGCAGACAGCGGGGTTCATGGGCTTCAGGCCCAAGCTGTACAACATGTGCTTCAGTGTCTACGACTGCGGCGTGGGGAGCGGCGAAATGCAGCAATGACGCCTATCTTTGCCACATTTCCACCCTGGACACTTTCGCCGTCGTGTCCATGTTGGACCGGTTGCCCCGCCGTGGCGGAGCCTTTTGTTGCTGTGCCTGTCTACCGCATTATTCTTAGTGGCCGCGCGCTCGGTATAATCACGGTTGCGGTTTGGATGCGCCCTTAGAAGGCTGGCGTTCCGCTGCAGATCGCCCGGCATCGAACACATGTACATATATATATATATATATTTGCACATACATGTGCACTCACACTGAATCACGCCCGCCGATCGGTGTGTTTTGTTCACCACGTGCTGACGAGACCGACGTGTTCAGTCTCACTCCCGCCCGTCTCACTCCCGCCCCCCTGGGAGCGACCGGCGATTTGGACAGCGCGTCAGCCGTACACAGGGATCCCAGCCCTGGAAGGCGGAGGAGCAACACCAACACAGGGAGGAGCAACACTGACACGGTGAGGAAGAGCAGCAGCAGCCGCGGCAATAGCAGGAGGCACTGAGCGTGGCCCGTAAAGCCTCATCATTTTGGCTCATGCTCGCCGTCCCCACGGGTCTGCTGAGCAGGGGGGAGGGGGAGGGTTGAGGAGGAGGATGCGGAGAACCAGCAGCGGGTGGATAAAGAGGACGAGGAGGAACGGGGAGAGATGTCCGCGATGATGGTGATGATGGTGATGATGATGATGATGATGGTGATGATGATGATGATGATGGTGATGACGGTGATGGTGATGATGATGATGATGATGATGATGATGATGATGATGATGATGATGATGATGATGATGATGATGATGATGATGGTGATTATGATGATGGTGAAGATCATGGTGGTGATGATAATGTGCAAAACAGTAGCATGCTTACGGCTATGGTGGTGGAGGTGGTGATGGTAATGGTGATGATGATGGTGGTGGCGATCGTGGTGATGGTGGTGATGATGATGCTGATGATGATGAAGATGATAGTGATGATGCTGGTGATGACGGTGATGATGATGATGATCAGTATGATGAGTATGATGAGCCTGATGATGATGATGATGCTGATGATGATGATAGTGATGATGGTGATGGTGATGGTGATGTCCTCGATGTCGGGGCAGCGGGTGGATGAAGAGGACGAGAAGGAGAGGGGAGAGTTGTCCGCGATGATGATGATAATGACGACGACGACGACGACGACGACGATGATGATGATGATGATGATGGTGATGGTGATGGTGATGTCCTCGATGTCGGGGCAGTCGGGCCTCCCAGGAGCACACGAAAGTGGCGACAATCGCGAAGTTCGCAGCCCCAGAGGGAGCTTCGAGGTCTCTACTGGATGTGCGAAGGACACCTACCCACTGTCCCGGTGTCCAGAACTGTGGCGAATGTCGCGCAAGTCGCGGCCCGCAAGGGAGCCGCGAGTTTTCGCCTGGACGCGCATGGCCCTCCAGATCTGCGTGGCATCCCACCCAGCTGGACCTCCCAAGAATCTACGAACATCTGGCGACAAATGGTCTATTCGCACCCGCCCACCCCCAAGGAACCACGAGGTCTCGAAGGGGCCCGCGCGACAATCCGCTCCGCTGAACCTGCAAGGAGCCCACGAACATGGCGGCAGTTGTGCAGTCCCCAGATGCCCCCCAGGGAGCGGCGAAGTCTCGCCTGGATCTGCGTCACAACCCAACCTGCTGGACCTCCCAGGAGCCCAGGAACGCGGCGACAATTGAGCAATTTGCAGCCCCCCAGAGAGCCGCCCGATTTCGCAGCCCCCCAGAGAGTGGCAAGCCGCCTCGAGTGGCGTCAACTGGACAGTTCTTAGCCACCCAAGGAGCCGCGAGGTCCCAGCAAGGTGCGCGTACAACTCTACTCCGCTGGACCTCCCAGGAACCCACGGAAGAGGAGGCGGCAGCAGGGAAAGAGACGCGCGAGCAGCGGTCTATGCAAAACGAAGCCCCGACGCAGGAGGGCTGGGAGCACCAACGTTACGTTCGGTTTCTGGTTGTGTTCGCTGTTGGTGGGCTTCTGAGGCCTCAGGATGGTCCCAACAGTGCCCGAGTGAGCCCCAAGAGATGCCAAGGAAGGCTCTAAAATTAGATTTTAGAGCCCTCCTCGGCATCCCTGGGGATAATGTCCCCAGGGAGCCAACGAACGCCCCAGGATCACTCCAAGACACAAGTTGTCGGACTTCGACGGGAGACTCGAATCAAAGAGCGCCCTCCCCTCGCCCAGAGCCAACATCGTAAACTGACCCTGCAACGTACCCAGCACTTCTCTGACCATGCGGCTACTATACCCGCGAAGACCTCGAAGCGATCGAAAATGTTGAAGAACCCGCCATGCGAAGGAACACCCCTTCGTGCGCAGGGAGCCTCGAGGTCTCGGCGGGGTCTGCGTGCCCCCCCCCCTCTCCGAGAGCCCACGAACGCGGCCGCAATTTCGCACTTCGCAGCCCCCCACGGGGCCGCGAGATCTCGGCTGGGTTTGCCTCCCCTCCGCTGAACCTCCCAGGAGCCCACGGCAATCGCGACGATTGCGCAATTCGCGGCACGCCAGGGAGCGGCGAGGTCTCGGCTGGGTCTGCGTGCCCCCCCGCTCCGCTGTGCCTCCCAAGAGCCCACGAAGGTGGCGGCGAGTTCGCACTCCGTAGCCGCCCCAGAGAGAGGAGGAGGAGGAGGAGGAGGAGGAAGAGGAGGAGCAAGAGGAGGAATAACGGAGACCCGTCAGTGCTCTGTTCAAGACGAGGAACCAGCACAGGAAGGTTGGGTAACCATCCGAGACAGCAGCGGCCTGGCCGACCGTGCAGGCCGCGCTCCGAGAGAGGAGGCATCTCTTCCGCCGTAGGACACCACGTGTCCTTCGGTCCGCTGCGCTCCGAGGGAGCCGTGAGATCTCGCCTGGATCCGCGTTGGCGCCTGCACTCCGTCGCGCCTCCCAGAAGCCTGCGGAACTCGCAAGCGTCGCGCAGTCCGCAGCTCTCCGAAACCATGGCGCAGTCCGCAGCCATCCGAGGGACACGCGCGACGTCGCCCTGGATCGGCTCTGCCCTGGATGTCGCGATACCCCACGGGAGTCAACGAACATGGCGACCAATCCCCAATTCGTTCGCAACCCCCGAGGGAGCCAGGTCTCCCCGCTACGCTCGCCTCTGCCGTGCCTCCTAAGAACTCGTGCGACAGTGGCGACCATTGCGCACTTCGCAGCCGTCCAAGGAGCCGCGATGTCTTGAAAAGATCTGAGCTGCCCTCACCTCCACCGTGCCCCAACAAAAATGGCGACAGCTGCGCAGTGCGCAACTCCCGGGGGAGCTGCGAGATCATAACATGATCTGCGCCGCCCTCACCTCCGCCGCCCCTCCCAAGGAATCACGTTAAAGTGGCGACAGTTCCTCCATTCGCAGACCCCGACGGCGACGCGAGGTCTCGAAATGATCTGCGCTGCTCTCACCTCCGCTAAACCTCCCAGGGGCCCGCGAACATGTCGACAACCACGCAATTCGCAACCCCCCAGGGAGCCGCGAGGCCTCGGCTGGGCGCGCGTGCACCTCCACTCCGCTGGACCTCCCAGCAGCCCATGACAAGCAGTTCGCAACCGCGCAGGAGTCGCGAATTCTCGCCGCAAGGCATCCCACGAGCCCACGAACGTGGCGACAATAGCGCAATTCGCAGGCCCCCAAAGAGTTGCGAGGTCTCGACTGGGTCCGTGTGGACCTGCACTCCGCTGGAGCTTCCAGGAGCACGCGGAAGTGACGACAGTTGCAATTCGCAACCACCCAAGGAACCAAGAGGTCTCGACTGGGTCCGCGTGGACCTTCCATGAGCCCATGAAAGTGGCGAAAATTGTACAGTTCGCAGCCGCCCAGGAAGCTGCGAGGTTCCAGCTGGGTGCGCGCACAACTCCACTCCGCTGGACTTACCAGGAGCCCACGAAAATGTTACAATTGCGCAGTCCACAACCACACAGGGAGCCGCGAGGGCTCGGCTGTTTGCGCATACTCCTCCACTTCGCTGGACCTACGAGGAGCCCAAGAAATAACCGACAAGTGCGCAATTCGCAACCACCCAAATATCCGCGAGGCACCGGCTGGGTCCGCGTGGACCTCCACTCCGCTAGAGCTCCCAAGAGCCCACGAATGTGGCGACAGTTGCGCAGTTCGCAGCCCCCAAGAGGACGCAACAGATGCAGGGAGAGGCGCACGATGCAGAAAGAGGTAGACGGAGGAGGGTGTGGAGAAGGAGACGCGGGACCCGTGCCCTATTCAGAGCGAGAACGCAACACAGAGGAGGGTTGAGGGAACGACTTGCGTTTGGTATGGAATGGGTTGGGCCTGTCGGGGATCCTTGGGAGGCGTTTGGGCCAAGATGGCGAAGATGGTTCCTGGCGGTCCTGACGCTTTAAGATGACCTCCAAGATGGCGCAACATGGTCTAAGATGGGTAAGGATAGCCTCCAGCATGCCTCTAGGGGCCCCAAGATGGATCCCAATGGCCTCGGAACCTCCAGATGACTTCCCCAAGAAGCTAATGATGTTTGGGCTTGTCCACTCGTCGCCTCCGACATGCCTCTGAAGCCTGAAGGCAAGCCTGAGATCGCCCAGTAGGCACAGAGTGGCTGCAAGGCAGCCCCAGGAGCGCCCCAAGAGCGAGGCGATGTGTCGGCCTCCGACGGGGAGGGGCTAAGCAACGCCAGCCTTTGTAATAGATGTCTTCAAACATCGAATGGCCTCAGGAGGGCCCACAGGCCCCCAGAGGGGCCCAAAAAGATCCCCAAAAAGGTTCGGGAAACTCCCCAAAATGGCTCCGTGGCCTTCAAGAACCTCCCGGAGCAGAAGATTCGCGAATGCCTTCATAGTTGACTCCTCTAATCGTCGCCCCCTTCCTCCCACACCCTCCTCTTGCTCCTCCTCCTCCTCCTCCTCCTCCTTTCCCTCCTTTCCCTCCTCCTCCTCCTCCTCCTCCTCCCCTTCACCGTCCTCCTCCCACCATGGGACCACCCGAAATTCGGCAACGTGTCAAGTCAACTTCCACTTCCTTCTGCTCGCCTTTCTACTCCTCCTCCTCCTCCTCCTCCTCCTCCTCCTCCTCCTCCTCGTCCTTTGACAATTACTCAATATGAATACTACTCTCCCTCTTCCCCTGATGGCGTACTGGGAGTAGCCGACCCCCCCCCCGCGTCCTGCTTTTTTACACACAGGATTCCCGGGAATTGGGTTTTCGCCTGCATTTTTTTCCAAATGCTGCTCTCGCTGAGGCGCCGGCCTCATTTTCGGGCCCCGCTCGTTCCGAATCGTGCTCCCGCTGCAGCGCTGGCCTCATTTCCGTGCTTCCGCTCGTTCCGAATCGTGCTCCCGCTGCAGCGCTGGCCTCATTTCCGCGCTTCCGCGCGTTTCGACTCGTGCTCCCGCTGCAGCGCTGGCGTCATTTCCCGCGCCATGCCACAGCACACGCGCACACACGCACACACACCACCACCACCACCACCACCACCACCACCACCACCACCACCACCACCACCACCACCACCACCACCACCACGACCACCTCCACCACCACCACCACCACAACCACCACCAGCACCACCAGCACCAGCACCAGCACCAGCACCACCATCACCACCACCACCACCACCACCACCACCACCACCACCACCACCACCACCACCACCACCACCACCACCACCACCACCACACACCACCACCACCACAACCACGCACACACGCACGCACGCACGCACGCGCACCACCACCCACTACGCACGCGCGCGCGGAGCCACAGGTCCGCTACGACACGCGTCCGCGGATAGAGAAAATCAGCGCCATGGTAAGGGATGGGAGGGAGGGGTAGGACGTCAGATATGACGCGAGCGCACCTAGCTTGCCTCCTCCCCCTCCTTCCCCTCCTCGTGCGACTCTTCCTGATCGGCGTCAACCTCTTGCTCCTTTTTTTTTCCCCATCCTCATTATCCACTTCCTGTTCCTTGTCCTCCTTCCTAGAATAAGCGCTGCCCCCCGGTTTCGCTGCATGTTCCTGCACTTCCCTGAACAGGGCCACCCGCCAGGGCACCGTTTGAAGCGCACCCAATCTAGAGGCGGATCCAGACATGGCGAAGAGAAGCTTCCCAGAGGCCTCAGCGGAGCGAGCCACGTCCCGAACCCTTTTTCTCCTAGAAGTTCGACCCCGCGAAAACGAGGACGACGACTGCGCAAGCCCCCCCCGCGGACCATGCAGGCTGCCAGCTCTCCGGGTGATAGTCTGACCTGCGTTGCGACCAGGATCGCGATGGAGACTTAGATGCACACATATTTAGTCATCGATATCTACAAACAACCAATATATTAGGCCTGAGGGATAAGAAGGATGCGAGGGTTTTGGACGCATATGTCGAAGTTTTTCCAGCGGGGCGCGGGCAACGAAAATGGCCAAGGATGGACCGAAGAGGCAAGATGCAACGGAAACCTTGGGAACATTGCCCACCTTTCATATGCGGGCAAACTGCGGTGATATATATATATATATATATACACACACCTTGTGCGAATATCTACACATATACCCCATCACTGCTTGTACTTCAGGGGATGTTTGCTTCTCTTCTATGGAACTTGGTATGCCATCTGGTTTGGCGGCAGTGTAGCCACCGTCACCGCCCCGTCGCTGCCGCGTTGCCGACATACGTCGGCTGCGCCCGTCTGCCCGTCGGGCGGTTGGTGACGCCGTCGAAATACGAGCTCGTACCATCCCATGCATGCCGGCACCGACCCCCCCAGACTCGCCGCATCATATCATGTGCGCGAATTCATTTCACGAGTAATCAACCAGTTGCACACATCTCATGCCATGCAAATAATCGGACACATCCACACCCGCGCATCGTCGCGCGCGCATGCCGCAATCTTTCGAGAACCGTCGGTTTCGTAAGGGTTCCAAAACAGATCCCCCTGAACGCATATCAACTACGTCAGTTCGCACCTTTCGTACATTCTTGAAAGAAAAAAAAAAGAAAAACGCATACGTTGGTTCCAAAATGCCCATCCATTGCAACCAAACAGGCCTCCCACGCAAGCGCGAGTGCCGAAATCATCCGAACGCCGATGGGCGCGTGCTGGGAGGGGGCGCCCGTCCGACCTGCCCGAAAAAGGGTCCACTAAACCATGCGGACCACTCGCGCCCGTCGGCCGCCGACAACAGTCGTCGCCGACGCGTGGACACCATCATGGTCATCGGTGTGATCAGCATTGACGCCTTCATTGGCCTTGCCGTCGTCATCGTCATCGTCGGCACCGGCATCGCAAATATTACCAGCGTGTCTGCCGTTGAGGTCGCCATGACACCGCGCCCGCCCGAGTCACCGTCTCGCACTGAAGTGCCCGCGCGTCAGCGCGGCCTGCGAGCGCACTGGGAAGCCCCCAGCGCCCAGCGCAACCGCGGCCGCGTCGGTCGCGCCGTACTAGCTGGCCGTCCTGCGCGCGCTAAAACGACCGCAGCGATGCGCCTCATGGCGGGGACGCCTACCAAGTCTTGAAGAAGACACTCGGCCCAGCCAAAAACGAGGGCGGCCCCGCAAGCCGCGCCAAAACCCGTGGCGAAACGAGGGAACCCACCACGCGGAGAAGCGAGGAAGCGGGCGACGGGCGAGGGAAAGAAAAACGACACGCGAGGGAGAAAGCGACGCAAGAGGCAGCGGGCGGCGCCCACGGGAAAGGCGAACAACACCGCGAACGGACGGGGGCAGGACGGCCGCCCCCCCCCCAAAAAAAAAAGCACAAGAAACATACTGCCTTTGCGTTCCCTCCTCCTTCCCCTCCTTCGCCCCACTCCTCCCTCGCGGCCGCTCCGTTCTCCCCGCAGTTCTGCTCGTCCTCGCCCTCCGTCCCTCGGGCTGACATCGGCCTCTCCGCCACCTCATCGCACTCCGCCAACCTCGCCACGCCCCCCTCGACGACCCACACCCTCGCGAACAAACGCAATAAAAAAGGCGCGTGATGTTTTACGCAGCACCCCGCAGAGACGGATAAGACTGAGGGGGCGCTGGGGACCTCGGCAGTTTCGAGACTCTGGAGAAGCCCGCCGCAGGCGCCAAAGTTCCACAAATTATACAACGAGCCCGCCGCAGGCGCCGATTTTGTTAGACCAATGTGGGTAGGTCGCGGGTGGGTCGCGGGTGGGTCGCAAATGGGTCGCGGGTGGGTCGCGGGTGGGTCGCGGGTGGGTCGCGGATGGGTCGCGGGGTGGGTCGCGGGTGGGCCGCGGGTGGGACGACGACAACAAACAACAACGCAACAACCAGCATCCTCACCACGGATCCCCACTTCAGCTACGCACCCAGGGACAATGAATGACCGTTCGGCCCCCTCACTCTGATGATCCTACTGGCTTCGGGCCAAATTCCAATTCAGCACGCCTGTCGCGCACTCGTGCTATCAGGCGCCCCACCGGCCTCAATGCCCGCCTCCAGAATGGCTCAAGAGAGCTCAAATTCGCCATGCACCTCACGCAGTCCGTTGACCTGGCCTCCCAAGTGGCTCCACAACCCCAAGACGGACCGAGCAGAAGGAAGCGGGAGGAGCAGTGGAACACACATCCGAATGAACACGATGAAGGCGAGACCGAGAAAGATACTAATTAGCCTGACGAAGGACCCAACCATGTGCAGTTGCGAGTACCGCATTGTGGGTACCGGTTGCGGTGGAGCTCCTATGGGGCCACGAAACTTGTGAGGGGTGCGCCGACATTGGTGGCGCGGGCGCATGTGGACACCGCCATTGGGGCCTTCGGTGTAGCTCCCTATGGGGCCACGAATCGCTGCCCTGGGCGAGGGAGACGCATGCGAACTGCGCCATTGGGACCTTCGCTGGATCTCCTTATGGGGCCACGAAGCGCTGTCATGGGTGGGGGACGCGCATGCGAACTGCGCCTCTGGCGCCTTCGGTGGAACTCCCTATGGGGCCACGAAACGTTGTCCTGAGTGGGAGAGACGCATGCGAACACCCCGATTAAGGCCTTCGGTTGAGCTCCCTATGGCGCCACGAAGCGCTGTCCTGGGCAGGGGAGACGCATGCGAACACCCCCACTGGGGCCTTCGGTGGAGCTCCCTATTGGGCCACGAAACGCTGCCCTGGGTGGGGGAACCGCATGCGCCCACCCCCACTGGGACCTTCGGTGGAGCTCCCTATGGGGCCACGCAACGCTACCCTGGGTGGGGGAACCGCATGCGCCCACCCCCACTGGGACCTTCGGTGGAGCTCCCTATGGGGCCACGAAACGCTTCCCTGGGTGACGGAACCGCATGCGCCCACCCCCACTGGAACCTTCGGTGGAGCTCCCTATGGGGCCACGAAACGCTGCCCTGGGTGGGGGAACCGCATGCGCCCCCCCCTTGGGCCTTCGGTGGAGCTCCCTATGGGGCCACGAAGCGCTGCCCTGGGTGGGGGAACCGCATGCGCCCACCCCCACTGGGGCCTTCGGTGGAGCTCCCTATGGGGCCACGAAACGCTGCCCTGGGTGGGGGAACTGCATGCGCCCCCCCACTGGGGCCTTCGGTGGAGCTCCCTATGGCGCCACGCAACGCTGCCCTGGGTGGGGAACCGCATGCGCCCCCCCCTTGGGCCTTCGGTGGAGCTCCCTATGGGGCCACGAAACGCTGCCCTGGGTGGGGGAACCGCATGCGCCCCCCCCTTGGGCCTTCGGTGGAGCTCCCTATGGGGCTACGAAACGTGTGAGAGGTGTGCCGAGAGCAGAGGCAAGGAGGGGGAGGAGGAAGGAAGGAAGGAAGAAAGGAAGGAAGGAACGCGGGGCACCGTCTCTTCAAAACGAGGACCCAACACCACAAGATGGTTGGGAATAAAAAACTAAATGACAACGCGGTGAGAAACAAACATACTGCTCGGAAGTTGTGGGGTAAGGAGGATACGGAAACACCTGAGGAACAACTGTCACCATCAGAAACATGAGGAGAAGGAGGAACAAAGAAAAAGGAGGATGAGGAAAAGGAGGTGGAAATCCTTAAGGCAGGGTCATCAGCTCGTCGTTGTCGTTGTTGTCATGGTCGTCGTCGTCATGATGGTACACCGGCGGCACTGGCCGTAAGGCCTTCACAATGAGTATGAGAAGAAGGCAAGGAGGAGGACCGAGAGAAAGGGGTGGGGAGGGATGTGGGCGCTGAGGTGCAATTGGACACAAGGAGGAGGATGGGGAGACGGTAGTGGCGGAACAACTCGGAGGATCAGGCGGACTCGGAAGAAACGTCAGGGTGAGGAGGGCGTCACCTGCGACAAAGACTACGATGACCAAGAGCGGGGCACGGTGAGGATCCGATGGGACGCGGCTGCCGAGCAGAACTTCCTGGGGCCCCGAGCCGTCGGGACGAGGGACAGCAGAGGCCCCGGCTGGGCCAGGGAGAGCAGGGGGGTGGATGGGGGAAGAGGGCGGGGCCAGGAAGGGGGACGATGACGGAGGGCGAGGTGGATGAGCAAGAGCTCCCAACTTCGCGCTTCGCGCTGCGCGAAGCGCGAAGTGCGAATAACTTCGCGCTCTCGCGCCGCCTCCTAGGGGAGAAGAGGAGGATGAGGAATCGGAGCCGAACCGCGAAGTGCGAATAACTTCGCGCCCGCGAGGGCGCCCTTGATGAGGGATGGAGAAGGGTGGAGGAGAGGGGATGATGTAGGAGGTGGGGAGGGGACGACCAGGGGGCGAGGGTGGAGAACTTGCAGGAGGAAGGAGGGCGAGGAAGGAGTGGGGAAGAGGGGCAAGAGAAGGCACAGGGGAGGTGGGTTCACTGTCGGGGAGGCGCACGACGTGGACGAGGTCCAGGTGCGACGGGTCCTACACCAAAAGCACTTGCACGAAGCAAGGGGACGAGGACGAGGCAGGCGAGGCAGACGAGAGCGTGCAACTCCGATGACCCCGCGGCTGCTCCCCGTGGGCCGCGCGCGCAGCGCGCGCCGCGTCGTGGCAAGGAGGGCGACGCAGGGGCTGGCAGGGGGAGGCCGAGCAGGACGGCCACAACGACGACGCGCGGCGACCGACGGCGGCGGCCAGCGACGGCGTTGGCGACGGCCAGCGACGGGCGGCGACAGACGGCGAGCGGTGGCGGTGACACACGGCGAGCGGAGGTGGCCGCCGACGGCGAGCGGCGGCGGGGGCCCCGTCGAGGCCGCGCGCGACGCGCGCGGCGAGGGCGCCCGGCCGCAGGACGCGGGGGACGGCGCGCGAGCGCTTGCCCGCCCGCGCGGTCCGGCGGCGGCCCCCGTCCGAGCCCCGAGGAGGGGGAGGGTGGCAGCACGGCGGGGTCGCGTCGTGACGACTCTGGGCACCGGCGTGGATCGCGGAGCCCTGGGCGGTTGCGGCTCTCCGGCGTCGAAGATCCCACGAA